ATGGAAGAGCACAGAATTCTAAACTACAATTTTTACAGTCTTCCCCCTCAGAGTGACTTGTGGATTTTGTCTTCCTACTTTTTGGACTTAACCATTACACTTAGCCATTATAAACACTAGGTATCTTTGTGTTTATATAGGTGTTTAAAATCATCCATTAATTCCATATTCATGTATGAGTTATTCTAATGAATTTTATATTTCACAATAAAACAGTTTAAAAATCACAGCACAAAGAAAATATTTATTAGTGAGGAAGAGGAGGAAAAAGCTTTCATGAGACTCAGAGGAGAAAGATGTCACCTCCAGCTGTATATTTGGCCTTGGTGGGCAAATGTTTAGTGGCAAATAAAGCACTGTCAGTATCTGTCCTGGCCCGGGAGTGCACACTCTAGACTTAGGGACTTGCTCTCAGAAAGGACACAGCCTGCCTTTCTCTGGCTCTGGCCTTCCATGTACTCCCAGGATCTTCAATGCTACTCCAATTTAGAAGCAGCTCAAACCCACCGTGGAAACCCTAGACAGGGTCGAAAGAATCAGAACTGACTCAATGGCACCCAACAACAACAACAAACATCTATTGTGAGTCCCTGGAAGGAACAAGCAATTAACTAAAGGTTACCCTTTGGAGTCTACCGAAAGGCACCACAAAAGAATTACCTGGAGATATGTTGTTGTTGTTGTTAAGTGCCTTCAAGTCGGTTCCGACCCATAGCGACCCTGTACAGGGTTTCCAAGGGTGTAAATCCTTACGGGAGTAGAAAGCCTCATCTTTCTCCCGCGGAGTGACTGGTAGTTTCGAACCACTGACCTTAAGGTTCGCAGCCCGATTCGTAACCACTACGCTACCAGAGCCTCCTAAAAATCAGTCACTGAAACGTTTGAAGCACAGTTCAACTCCATGTGTTGGAGATAATGGCAACTTGAGGAGGTGGCGTGCTCATGAAGCATTTATTAAGCACCACTGTTTGCATTACATGTTCACTGGCTCATTGGGTTATTACAATCACTGAAGTCTGAATTGACTGATTCCCCCAGGCTAGGCCAAGGCTGGGGGATGAGGAGAGAGAGGGCCAGAAAAGGATCTTATTTCACTCTTTGGCTGCTGACTCCCAGACAGCAGAATCAAACTACATTGGGGAGGGCCCCCAGCCTAACAGCCCTGCCCAGCAAGCTGTCCTTCTTAAGCCACACTGCTGGGTCCCAGTTATGGGTGAGCGGGCTATGAGGCCACACAGGGAACAAAATGCATCATGAGAGTTTTCTCCTGGTAGCTGTCATTCTTTCCACCTCTCACCCAGCATGCCAACCACAAGTTAGAGACAACCAGCTAAGTGCACCAGATAGAGCTTCTGCCTGAGAAGCTTGGACCCCCAACCGTGCCTTCCTGTCCAGTGGGCTGCACTTACCTGGAACAAACCCCTCCCCTGGCCATTAGTAACCTCCTCTGCATTAATGAATTGTGAACACAAGACTGGCCAAAAAGGCAGGCCAGGAGAATTCTTTGTGTTGCAAAGGCTCTTTCTGGGAACCTGCACTGTTGTTATGCAAACCCTCCCTGCATGCAGGAAGGTCCTGCTGCCTTTTTATTTGAGTTTCCATGAAACAATCATAAATCATGCTGTGACGCCAGTTTACTTGCCTGCCTGAGTGTTCTCTATGTTTTCCCCAAAACCCAAATCCATCACCTAGGTAAAGTCCCAGGAGGAAATGGGGGCTCTGAGCAGAAAATCCTAGAGATTATTTCCCAAATTGCCAAAAATCAAAACAATAGGACCCACAAGGAAATGGTGACTCTTCAGGAGCAATAAAGCTAAGAGAAATGAGGGATTTGAGGGAGCACAGCCATTTCTTTAGTCCTTTTAGGCTGAGTGGAACCCAACTGACTAGGAGAAGAAAGGAGCCTGGTTACTATGATAGTATTTGTTGAGCACCCCACCTGAGAGTCCTTAGATGCACAATGTACATAGCACAGCTCAGGCCTTAGCTGGGCGACCATTCGTTGGGGTCCTCTGAATGCCCATTGCTGTTGTTGTTAAATGATGTCAAGGAGCGGCTGGTGGATTTGAACCACTGACCTTGTGGTTCAAACTAATCTTGTGGTCCAGCAGTCATGGTGAGGTACTGTAGGATAAAGCACCGGACAGCAAGGTCGCTTTGAACCAAAAGGTCATCGGTTCAAACCCCCAGCTGTTCCTTGGAAACCCTATACAGGATCACTATAAGTCAGAACCGACTCCACAAGAACAAAAATAGCCCCATTGTAGAGCAATCATTCCACTCCGGAGCACTGGGCACCCGCCTTTCCTTCCAGTTTTGCTTGGGAGGCTCCCCTGGCATGAAGTCACAGGGGAAGAGGACCCAGAGCGATATTAAGACTGGGTCACAATTTCAAAGGCCTACCCTTGCTATCTTCAAGTTAATGTTCCCCAGTAGGATCACCACTCCTACAGAAGGTAATAGGAGCTGAAATCAGTTTAGATTCATTTTTGTGTGTGTGTCATTTGCAAGTTTCCACTAACCTGGAAGATTTGATGCATTCCAACTCAATGGAAACTAACAACACACAGGCCTGGACAAGTGGACTGAGATGCCACGGGGAGCGCACACACTTCCCTTAGGCTGGAAGGGGCCATGGGCTCAGCTCAGTTCTACAGGGCTCTGGTAGTCCTGGTGAGTCCAGACCCTTGCCCAGGGCTCCCACCCAAGTGGATTCATCATTGTTCTTGTTTGCTGGGGAAAAGGGTATGGGCCCAAGTGCTCTCATTGCTCCTTCCACCAGAGGAATGAATGAATAAATGATATCGGGGTGCCAAGAAAAGAGGAGCTAAAGGCCATCAGGATGCCACAGTGAGACGCCTATGCCTTAAAGGGGAAATGTCAGTAAGTAATGTGTGAGCACATGGCTTCACTCTCCATTTGTAAAAGGACAGGTTGGTTTAAGTCAGTCAGGTGCTTTCTAGCACTGACATGTTTCTAGCACAAGAAAGCTGAGGTAGCACAGGCACGAGACATGTTACATGTCTGTTTCTTATAGTAGAGAAACATGTCTCATACCTATGCTACCTCAGAAGTGGGAAAATCAAAGATAAGCCAAGAGGGCTCTGTGTTTTGAGAAAAAGGAGCATGAATTCATTCTCATTTGAAGACGTGAAGGCAGTTCCTCACTCATGCTCAGTACTCACTTGGTCTGGAAACATTTAAGAGTCCCTCTGGCCAAAGTGGCCCCACACACGTATAAAGTTGTGCCACATTTTAGTGAACACGGTGGGGTTTCTGCTACTTCTACAGGGTCCCACACAACCCAAAAGCCACAAGCAGCTAAGGCAGCACCAAAGGAAAATCGGATTTCCAGCAAGGCAGGCCAGCCAGAAAGGCTTGGGGAACAGGCAGGCAGTGTGTGGAGAGGAAGAAGGGAACGGGCTGCAATGGAACAGATTTGTAAGCTGTTTTCATTCTGGCCTCTCCTATCAGCTTGGGGCTCTCTGCTTTCTGAGCCACTGAGGAGCTAGTGACCTAGTTCTGGAGCCAGCTCTATTTCCACTCAGGCATTGTCCTGTCCTCCCAGCCAGATTAGCTCTCCTGCAAACCCATCCTATAGCACCTGCAGGTCTACCCTCAGGTTCCCAGAGCAGTCATGGGGCTGCAGGAGGGCAAGCAAAACAGATTTATAGAAGAGATGGCGACTGTCAGGAGCTGGGCCTACAGACTTTGATAGGGAATGCAGAGACTGATCCTTTGTCACAACAGGTTCCTCAGATGATGCCCAAATACACTGGACATCCCCATCCAAGATGACCCACTTCCATAATACCCATCAGTTCGCTGTGTCCTGAAATTTTGTCCAGAGACTGCTCTATGAGGCTCTATCTCTCCCATCTGAGCACCAATGACCTTGGAGCTGAAGGAGGGGGCGTAGGGTGTAGGTGGAACAGAGAGGGACTTGGCTGTCCACCCAGCCTATAGAGCAAGGAGGTTCATGCAGCTGCTCTGACAGTTCACAAGTGGTTCCAGGCCTGGGGAGGTCAAATCCAGAGGCCCCACCTGCTACTATGGAAAGCCAGAAGCCTAGTATTCAGGGTCCTCGAGTTCTGGTCTCCACCTTTGCCTCCTTTGTCCTGGAGATATCTGGCCCTTGAGTGATTTGGTCAGGCTCTCCTTCCAACTGAAGACACCAGATATGCAGTGTCAAGTGCCAGGATCCCTGTGTATGCCCACTCAATGGCTGAAGGGGTCCCTCGAAGACAGGGAGACCACAAGCCCTCATGCAGAACAAGCAGAAGATGCTGCCTGATGTCAATACCATTGCCTATGTCATAGGAAATGTCTGGGTTTTTACTCGGAGAAAACACTTAAAGCCTGCACCCGCACCTCCACCTTCCAACTCCTGGAGCCAGATGAGCCCCATGTGGGAGTATCAGCAGGAGGAATGGCCTTGGGGGACACTGGACGTGTCTGTTCATCCAGTGGGGCCCCCCAGAAGTCCCCAGAGGGCAGCCCCACAAAGGTTCCTCACTCTGAGCCTAAACATTTCCCTCTTTTGGACAGCAATAACCACGGAGGAGACACAAACCCTAAAGGCTCAGAGCACCGACATCAGGAGTCCTGGGAGAAGGCAAAGAGGCAAGCTGCAGATGTGGAGACGACAGAAGAGAGACAACTGGCTCTCACAGCTCTCTAAGCTTCTGCTTAGAACCTAAAACTCTTACCAGTTAGAGGGGGGAACTATGTGAACAAGGAGAGTGGCCACTTGGTCAAGTGGAGCCATGCTTTCTGTTACACCTACGTCACTAGGCCAGGTAAAGCCAAATGCAATGTCATGTATGGATACCAATGCTGTCCTTAATTCTGGCTGTGATTTACAGCAGGAAGATGGGGGCTGCACTGTCCAGAGGGGCAAAATTGATTCAGAAAACAGGGCAATCATGTCTGTCTCCCTCATCCCCTCTGGGACCAAGCAGCCCAGCCCAGCCCCTCCTGACAACTGACCCAACACTTACCTTTCAGGGAGGCGACGTGTGACAAGGCCTGGGCATATGTGGCTGTATTCAGGAGGGTCCCAGGCAAGCAGGAGGGGAAGAAAGGTCCTGTGGGAGCCACTGTTCGTCCCAGGCTGTCAGAGAAAGAAAATCACACTTAGTGCCCTATTCTGGTACCATCACTGTCCCTGGATCCCTGTTGCAGACCGTGTAAGACTAGTAACTATGTCGGGGCCAGACCCCGGCAGATCCCCAGGCCAGCCTCACCTCTGCTGGGCTTCCAAGGGGTCCTTCTTGCTCCTGGCCTGATCCCCAGGGGGTGGCGAATTGATGTTTCTCACCGGTGGAGGTGTCACCTCTGCCATGGGCTCTTTGGCACCAGGCTCCTGGTCTGAGGCCCCTCGCTCCGTTTTCCTCCACTTGGCCCTTCGGTTCTGGAACCAAACCTGAGCGTCCAGTGGAAACATACACCCAACAGAGGCAGAAAATCAAACAGGAGGAGGGAACCAAAGCCTCAAAACAAATGTCATTTACCTCTTGCCCAGGATTGTGTGGCACCTTGTTGCCAGGTATGAAGTGGCCAGAACATCAAAAGATCCCCAAAGTAGGGGTCAGCTTCTGACCAATTGTTGAATAAAAAAATCAATTAAGAAAGCCACAGCAGTCATTTAAAAAGAAAAGAAAAGAAAAAAGAAATGCTAAATAACAGAAAATATCCAAATGCATTGATCATATTGTTGTTGTTGTTATTAGGTGTCATTGAGTCAGTACCGACTCATAGTGACCTTATGCACAGCAGAACGAAACACTGCCCGATCCTGGGCCAACCTCACTACTGTTACCACGCTTGAGCCCATCGATGCTGCCACTTGGCCAATCCATCTTGCTGGGGGTCTTCCTCTTTTTCTCTGACCCTCCACCCTACCAAACATGATATCCTTCTCCAGTGACTGTTCCCTCCTGATAATATGTCTGAAGCATGAGAGACAAAGTTTGGCCATCCTGGCTTCCAAGGAGCACTCTGGCTGCACATCTTCCAACACAGATCTGTTGATCATAGGAAGGGTAAAACTTCCATCTTATGGAAACTTTCTATGTTGACTTTCACACAAGTACATTCAACAAAAACAATAATAAATTTTTAAAAACCCTGTCACAGGAAATGTTGACTCATAGCAACTCCCTAAACAGAACAGAATTGCCCATAGGGCTGCACACACTATAACTGTTTCAGAAGCAGGAGTAGAGTGCCACATTTTTCTCCCGAACCAGTTAGCAGACAAGCACTTGAACCACGACACCACTAGGGCTCCTTACAAGTGTACTGTATGATGTGAAATAGATTTCCTACCAAGAGTCACAATCAAAGCAGTTTGAAAAACACTGACTGCCCTCATCAAAAAAATTCACTCTTTAGCCGAGCACTCTCCTTGTGTGGCAAGCCTCACACATCTATGATCTAAGCCTGAAGTCAGCCACATCACGACAAATCCATGACCATCAGCCTAGTGTACCTACAAGAAACACGGACTCTAGAATTCAAGACCAGCGCTGACCCCCTCTAAGGTTGGGGAAAAGTTAAGCACACAGAGTCTTATTGGTCTACTCAAGGTCATCAGGTGTTAGGTGGCAACTCCAGGAAACGAAGCTCAGTGTCTGGCTAGGAGCTCTGATCCAAACTGCTTAGGAATAATTGTAGCCAGCTCCAATTGTTGTTAGGAAGATGACTCGAAGCACTGAAACCAGCCCTGAGCAGTTAATCGCTCAATAAACATTAGCTGGGGTTATCTCCGTCGTCCTCACTGAGGTTAGGAGGCAGCTCACAATTCACCTGGCCTAAGCATCTTCTTAAAGACTGATGTCAAATTCTTTAAGCCTTGAAAAGCAAAACTGCATTTGCAGAAGGGCAACTTCATGGAAGCCAGGCAACCCAGCCCCAAGGTGTTCCCTTTGGTCAGTGAAAGCCTGCTGTTCCTTACTCCATGCAGCAAAACCTCTCCATTCTACTCCAATGAGACGATTCCCTCCTCCCCTGGCTGCCGACATGTTGGCCTTGTGAAAACCCGGTCCCCAGGCTGAGCTCCTCTCACCTCTTCATTTTCATTCTCCTTTAATTTCTTTCTTTTTTAATTTAGTTGCCTTTTAATTGCATATATCAGCAACCACTGAATAATGATTTTATCTATATTCTAAATTTAGGGCAGTTAAATGCAAAGCAAAATGCAGACACTTTCTTGCGTCTTAATTGAATGAAGGTCACAGCTATAACAACATTTAATTGAGCTATTTTTCATTATCATATTCTAATGACTTTGCACTGACAGTTCGCCTGCTTCTGAGGAAGGAGCATGATGGAGTCGTTTATTTCCCTATTTAGTTATTGTTTGACAACATCAGCTTCGATTAAGACCCTGCTTTATAGAACATTAATCATATTTGAATGAGCAAGAGGTATAAATGTAAACACATCTCCCTTCCCGCCACCTAAGCCGGTGTCGGCACATGGAACCTCACTAAACAAATGCTTCACAGCCATTGTCTGTTTGCATAATAGCCAACAAGGACCGGCCTGAACAACAATTCCCCACTCTAATTGTCACCACCCCTATCTCAGCCTTGCACCTTTCAGGGAGAAGTTATGATCTTCCACTTCTGAATGCTCAATAATTGTATCATTTATCTCAATTTGCAGGTCAGTCTTTAGGCAGCTATTGGCAAGTTGGCATTAAAAAAAGAAAGGATAGGCATCGTCCTGGCCAAAGCAGATTTTCATTTCCAAATAATAATCAGTTTAATTTGTCTGCCTATGACCAATGATTCATGTTCAGATTTAATAATAAGGATCACATAATCTGATTATAGGGGAAATAATTTGTTTACAGCCCCCAATTTACTGCTCAGAATTCCATTATCTCTCTTCAGCCATTGGTTTTTAAGAGATACTAACATGACCCAGGGGAACCGAAAGCAAACTATTATATTTCCTACAATTAGATCTTTGCATAATCTTAACCCCAAGCTCCGACATTAAAAAAAAAAAAAAAACAGAAATAGCATGGAGGAAACCCCATAAATAAAATGAATATATAATTGTGCTCCAAAAACAGCTTGCCTGGAGAGGTGGTGCTGTGAATTGGTTTCTCCAGCACTTGGGCACATCTGCTGGGTTCAACGGGTTTGTGCACTTAAACATAATCACCGTGTAGCTTGGAAAAAGAAATCCTGCTTCAAGATGGTCACCGTGGGCCAGGCTGGTCTCAAGGGCCTGCCCTTGCACTGATCCCGCTTAAAGATTTTTAAATTGAACATGTTCTTTGGATCCAATTCACTGAAACCATCCGCATACTGAGGAAAAGTTGGCCATGATGCAATTTCTGGAAAACAGCTCCTACTCTGCTTCCCATCTGAAAACTCCGTTCTCCACATTGACCGGCCTCAGCCCAGAGCCGTCAGAGCTGCTTTGAGAATAGCATCTCAGCTCTTTTTTTTTTTTTTTTCCCCAAAGCAAGGAAATGGATGTGCATTGATGTAATTTAGTACCTTAGAGACGCGGACAAATTAGTGTAGAACATTATCACTAGTTAATTATGAATGACCGATTAATCAACCTAATCTAATATTCCACATTATGTTGATGTTATTAAAGTGCATCATGAAAATGACAGATAGTCTTCATTTGCTTTCTTTGGCCAAATGTGCACTCTGCAGTCATGATGTCAAAAAAAAAAAAAAAAAAAAAGTTTGCCAGTTTTAATATTAGAGAGTTAAATAATTTAACAGAATGTTTACCTGCACTCTAGCTTCTGTGAGGTTTATTTTCATGGCTAGCTCTTCTCTGGTGAAGACATCTGGATAGTGTGTTTGGGCAAAAACTGCCTCAAGAGCTTCCAGCTGGTAAAAGGAAAAAATATTTACTGGTGAGAGGCTGTGGTTCGGTAAGGAGAAACAGATGGGTTTTCAAATCTGCTAGTCGTGGTGAGGAAACAGTTTCACAATCAGATAGAGGTAGGGAATGAGGAAAGAGCTATTTGAAAAGATCCCACAGAATTCAAGTTTCAACCACAGATGACTTAGGAGCTAAGACAAACTAGCAATCTCAGTGCTCTTGAAGAGTGTCATATGCATTGACATGTTAAAACATTGATAGGAATCACAAATCTAAGGATAGCATTATGAAGTAAAGTAGCTCACCCAATGTTCTCCATAGGGCAGAGGAGAAAGGAAATCATTCACAGATGCCCTCACTGTCTCACTCCCACAGAAAGCACTTGGGGATATTTGAGCCATTGTCCTCACAGCTCCAGTTTGCTCCAGAAAGTGGACAAAGACTAATCTAAGGGAAAGAACTTTGGTGGAGGAATCTCAAGATTTTCCATGTCACTACGCCAAAACACATCATAGGAGTCAGTCAGGTTCGTGGGCCATTTCCTCATGTGTCTATTAGGTATAAGGGTGTCTGCTTGCCTTCTTTATAGGAGTATTGTGAGGTTCAAACTATATTGCTGATATGGAAATGGTTCAGCAAATGAGATGGTCATTTATCCTCCCCTCAAACAGATTCTTTGACACATAATTTCTCAAAGGAGAAGAAAGATAACAGTTACCATAATCAGTTGGCCTTTTTTAAAAAACAAGATGAGTTGCTCGAACTCCAATTTCTTTCTTTCTTTCTTTCTTTCTTTTTGAGCAGAAAGTAAGTGGTTCTCAGAAGGGGGCATGGTACTGTTACCTGCTGAAGAGTGAATGTTGTTCGATTCCGGCGCTGTTTTCTTCGTAAAAAACCATCGTCAAAGTCTGCTGTTGAGTGGTTGCCGAAGGGTGCAGTGCCTAGTGGGGACACACGGAGTTAGCCTGTGTTGGGGGATCCCCAGTCCTCACACTGACTCCTCACAGCGGTGAAGCCCCATTTGCAGGGCTCCAACCACAGTCCCCTCCAGCTCACCTAGCCCTGTTTGTTCCAAAGTGTCTTTCTCTGTTCCTTTTCTTATAAGCAAACAGTTGCTGTGGAGATGACTCCAACTCATGGCAATCCTAAGTGTGTCAGCATAGAACTGCGTTCCACAGGGTTTACAATCATTGATTTTTCAGAAGTAGACAGTCAGGTCTTTCTTCTGAGGTATCTCCAAGGAACTAAAATTTCCAACCTTTTGGTTAGCAGCCAAGCACAGTAACCATTTACACCACCAAGAATGCTTCTTATGAAATCCCTCCTTTTTCTTTTTTCTTTTTTTACTCTCTTTCATGTTCTCTCGCCTCTTACTTATTCACTCTCCCCAGAGAAAATCTAACTTTAGGCTCAGTTGTACAGAGTTCTTTGAAACTCTATGCAGGGTTGCTATGAGTTGGAATTGACTCAACAGGACTTAACAACAACAACAAAATGCCTACACATAGTCAAGAGCCAGACTGTAAACCTCAAGGTTAGTGGTGTGAGGTTTTGTGCTTCCACAAACCCTATACAGGGTCACTATGAGTCAAAACCAACTCAATGGCACTTAACAACAACGTGTCTATACATAACCCCCAAGTTGTCACTTCTTGTGAAATTCTGGACTCTGAGACAGGAAATGTCACTGGCTTGAGGAGGAACCTTCAGCTGCCCTCTGGCTCCATTAGCTCACCCCACTACATCTGATTTTTTAATATGAGTTTCTGTATCTTTAGGGAAATTGTGAGCCCACTTTCCCTTGTTTCTTTAAGTAACAAGGATTAAAGCCTGGGGCATGGGGGGAATGGAGGAGCAAAGGCAGCACCAGGAGTGTTTGCAGTTCCTCCTAGAACTGCAGGAACCCATGAGGTAAAAAGTTTATAAATGAATATTAATTACCATTCGTCACAGCTCATCAGCACCATAGTGGATTTGTTATATAGATGTCAATTAGCAAAAGATGTGCACCAACAGCGGCTATGCGGGATTCCAGGCAGACTTAGATGGGGTCTCTCTCAGAGGACACCTCACCCTCTGGCCAGGCCTTCTAAAGGACAGACAGCCCCCTAGCTAAGATAGGCATTGTCCTGCCTGGCAGCCTCCAAAGCTTTCTATAATGCCAGAACAGAGTTTGGCCCCAAACGTGCATTCAGATCATTTTCCAAATGTGCACTGTTTATTTAATAGCCCACAATGACTTCTTAGGAAAACAAATGAGCAAGTTTCCATTAACCAGTGAATGCTTTACCTGCTATATACCCTGTTCTCAGAATCACTGCACTTTCAGTTTTATAAAGCCAAATCTCCGATATGTCCCTCAGAAGGACATTAAGAAGAAAAGCCCTTTGGGCTTTCTAAAATTCTGTCTACTAAACAGAGTCCCTCCTAGTTGTTATTTTACACTCTAGGGTCCTATCCTTTGCTACAACACCCCCACAGACTGCTAAAGCCTTCCCCTACATCATCCTCATCAAATCACATTCTTCTTCAAAATCCTAGCTAGAAACATTTCTTTCCAGCGGATTAGAAACTTCTAAGGCTGAGCTTCGAAGCAATTTTACTGCCATTATATTTTTTTTCAGGAAAACAAATTGTTTCCTTTTGTAATCTCTGAGGCTCTCCAAACACAATTTTTCCAGTCCTCCACTCTACACCTGTAGACCCAAATTGTTTCACAACATCAACACATATGATATCTTTAAGTGAAACACTGCATGTCAAATTTTACTGTAAAGAAGGCTAATGACTCATCAAATGAGGTTTTTTTTAAAAGATTACCAACCTAATATAAAATTGAGGGAAAATGGGAATAGGCTTCTTACTTACAGATAAATATAATGGTTGATTGTTGTTACTGTCTTTAAATTCTTTTGAGTTGGTTCCAACCCTGCATAGTGTTTCTGAGGTTTTAAAATAAAGCCTCATCTTTCTCCTGATAATAGTTATAATGTTATAAACATGTTAAAATTCACTGATAATTAACCCAAACCAAAGCAGGACAATAACTAACTACTATTCCACTATCCTAAAAAAGAAAGGCATTATGATGTCCAGAGCACATAAAAATGTAATAAAATGTATACTCCCATTCGCCACTTGTAGGAGCATTAACTGATGCCACTTTTCTGGAGGGCAATTTGGCAACATCTGTCAAAAATAATATTCAATGTATGGGTGTACTTATTTTTACAAATGTTACCAAAAACAAGAATGTTTAGGGCAACACTGTAATATTTTAAGAAAAATAAAACTAGAAACCACCTAAGTATCCATCAGTAGGTACTTTCTGTACAGCATCTGTACAACACATAGTGGGATAATACGCAGGCGTTTCAAACAAAGTGGTGTATGGGTTTGCATGAAAATAAAATCCCCAAGATATATTGCCAAATGATAAAAGTACAAATGAGGCAATTTGCTTTAAGTGCAAATAATATATAACGTATGTATATAGAGGAAAACACGTGTATGATGGGAAATTGTTCTTTTCGTGAAGGGATCACAAGAATCCACCTTTAGAAAAAGAAAAGTGAGCCTTGGTAGAAGAAACACTGGACTGCTAAACCACAAGGTCTGCAGTGAGGAGGCAAGATGAGGCTTTCTGGTCCTGTAAAGATTTACAGCCGCAGAAATCCTACCCAGCATCAGTGCGAGTCAGAAGCGACTCAGTGGCATGGAATTTGTTGTTTGCTTTTTCGAAAAAGAGGTTGCAACCAAAGATTTCGGTTTTCAGTGGAGAAGTTTCTGTACTATCGGCATTTCCCAAGCATCTATATGTAATTTCTAATTTCATATCAGCAATATTATCTATGGGTTGCGATCATGAGCTCTGCTTTGCTTTCTTCTTTATGCCTCTATATTCATAAAAGAAAAAGAAAAATTAATAGCTGACAGGTTATCATGAGATGCATAGCCCGAACAGCTCTCAGCCTTTCTGTTTGCAGCAGGTCACCTCCTCCTCAGCAACATTAAACTCAAATTAACATTGTATCATGCAAAACTGGCATAGAAGCTCATCTGTAAAGGGCTAAAAAGGCTCTTGAAGACCCATTTCCTTTCCTTCTGAACATATTGATCAGAATCAATGGCAGGATGACGGGGATGTGCATAGAGAGTAAGGATGGGAGATATGGATGGATTGAACTGAAAGCAACAAGGCCAGACCAGGACTCTCCCTAAGTGACTTCTAAAACCTTTCAGACATCCAGGAAACCTGCTAAGTGTCCAAGCCACTGCCTTCTTCACTATGATCAGAAAGTGGCCCACCAGGGGCAGTCATTCCAGACCAGGGACTCAGAAGCACAGAGAAGACTCAGCCTGTATACCTGCAGATGGCTTCTCCAGTTGTGGGATACACTGTCAAGGCCACACCTGTCTACCCTGTTTATAAAGCCCACCTTTCTGGCTCTTTTGAGGTCAAAGGGGGTGAACTGCAGGCAAGTGCCAGCCTTCCTATCTTAGGAATGTTTCCAGAGCTGGTGAGCCTCCTTTAGAAAACCCTCCTCCCATCGTTCATAGGGGCAGTAGCCACACAAACTTTCTAAAATCACCTGCAAGCAGCCTTATAATCAGGCATCACTTTCTCACCTCCTTTTGCTCTGCCCCATGTTTTCCTCCATTTCTTTGCCTCCAAAATTCCTCTATCCCACAAATAAATCAAAGGAGTAGTTTGCCAAAGTCCAGTCCTGGCATTGCATTCATCACAGTATCCAGACTAGGAAGGGTCAGAATCTGCAGTTGCCACAATCACCTGCCAATACAACTGTCCCACCCTAGTGGATGGCGGATCCCTCAGTTCCTGAGGCCCTGGGTTCAGCACCAGAGGGCTAAGCTACCCTCTTTCCACCACTACCCTACAGAAACTACAACAGAGCTCTTAAGGAGAAATATCTTCTAAGGTCTGGAAACCTTCAAAGGCATGAACTTTGTGGGGTTGCCCCTTGGAAGTTAGAAAGGGTAAGGAGTGGTTGGTAACGGGGTCACAAGCATTGCCATGCACAGACAATGAATCAAAAGACAGTTGGAGCATCCGTGCAAGTGGCTGGAAGGACGCGCTCGGCTTGGCTCGGGGAGCTGCACTGCCAGCACCTAGGTACGAACCATTGAGTAGCCCAGAATTGCAGGGTGAGGCCTGAACAGTAACATCCTAGCAAGAACAGCTCAAGAATGCATCGTTTCTGCCTCTCTGTCCGGCCCCTAATACTGCAAGCCAACTCCAAGTCGGCCTTGGCTTTCCGAAATGTTGGCAAAACTCCGTGAAAGATTGATGCTGCGCCCTGGGCAGGGAGGGGGGGTCCCCAATTAAAGGCGTGACACCAGCATCTGTGCTGGGAGCACCCAACCGGTCCCGCGACGCGCATAGCCTGGGGCTGCCCGGGCCCAGGCATGGAGGGAGACTGGAGGCAGGTGGCGACAGGGCGGAGCGGGGTGTGGGGAGGGGGCCTCCCCGGAACGCCCTCACTCACCGCCAGGCGGCTGCGTCCCTAGCGGACTAAGGACCCCATCAGCCACTAAACCTGCTGCCGCTCTGGTCCTTTCCGGCCAGCGCTGGCCTCGCCAAACGGCGGGGAGACTCATCGGCCCTTGTAGGCTAGGCGCTTACTCACCCTCTAGCTGTGGCGGACAGTGGAAATAAAACATTGCCGACGGCCGAATGGGCTGGACGGCTGGGTCTCCGGAGGGTGATCTTGAGACGGACAGGAGAGCGCCGCTCCTGCCTGGCTGCAAAGCAAACAGTGACCGAGTCTGAATCTCCCTCTCCCTGCGCCCTAGCCCGGTCGTGGAGCGCACCGGACTGTCAACTCCTGAAGAAATCTCTCCCAACGTCCTCAGCCCACGGCGGGGACAAGATGGGAGTTGGCATTGTCGTCGCAAGATGAGACCCACGCGAGGCAACCCCTCCAGTCGGGTCCACCTCCCCCCTCAAAACCGTGCCCCCACCCAACACCAAACTCCTACTGTCGGCCTCTGGCTCTCAGAGGTCCCCGCCACAACCCCCGCATCCCCGGCACCACAGCCAAGTCTGGCGGGTGCTCCAGGCCACCTGCGTGCCCAGCCGCTCGGGCCAGGAAGACAGCCTAGCCCCAAGGCCCAGGCGCGCCGGAGCCTGGTCGGCCGGGAACCGCGCGTACCTCCGCGGGCGGGCGATGGGCAAGGATGGCCAGAGCGTGACCGCCTCCAGTCGACACTTTGGCTCAGCTGGAGGAGGGCAGGACTCCGAGCGGCTGGCGCCCGCAGGACCAAAAAAGTGACTCGCGAAGTGGCCAGATGTCTTGCTGTCTGTCTACAGCGCGCGCCGCCGCTCAGCACTCGCCTTTATAATCTCACGCATAATTGGCCTTAATCTGATTATTTCCAGCGCTGTCTGCAGCGAGTAACTTGGATAGGTCTATTGGGCCTTACAAATGGCCCACGTGGTGTAAAAAAAAAAAAAAAAAATTCGTCATTTCTCAGCAAACATCAGGAATGTTTTTCCTCTTTTCTTTTAAAGAAGATAAAAAACCACCACCCACTACCCCGCAATAAAGGCACTCTTTTCTGAACATTCCGGGCCCCTCTGGTGCTTCCTCTGACTCAAACCTTTCTCCGGGAAAGCTTAGATTTGGGCTGGTCCTTGTCTGAGGCCTGGCGACTGCGGGGATTAAATTGACAAAGCACTGCTAATTGTCGCCGCCGGATGGGTTTTGGGGGAACTCTTTGCACACGGCTTCCCTTTCCAAGCGATCGTACAAAAGGAAAGTTTGATTTTGTTCTCAGCAAGGGGTTCCTGAATTTATGTTGCTTCTCGATGCAAATGATATGCGGTGGGACCCTTCGCAATTACTTTTAAAATGCATCGGAGGCAGACACTCAGCGGAGAGAGACCGCCCTTCCCTCTGCCTGGGTGAAAATTAAACTCTAAAGTGCCAGGCTGAAATTTTCAAGTCAGGGGCGCGGGATTGGATCAAATCACATAAACTGCAAAAAAAGCAAGCCTAATGGCGCATAATTGGTTCTGTAATAGCATTACACCAGGATAATAGCCCGTTACGGCCCCCTGCACTATTAAGTGCTTCCCTGGCGGAAAGCCTTTATGATATTAAAGGGGGAATATGATGATATTTTGGTTATTAAATGCATGTAATTAATTTATGCACCACTGAAAATAAAGTTGGTATTATGACCCACTCAAGATGCATCAGAAGATGCAAGTCAGACAACTGTTGATAAGTTCTGGTGTCTGTGTTCCGTCTAGACTGCTGATTTTATTTTGGGACGATGGCTTCTTGGACAGACTGCATAAATTGAATATTTTATAAACATTCTAATGTGTTCGGGAGCCTCGGGCGAGGCGGTGGGTCAGTCCCTGCAAGGCCCAGTAACCAGTCTTGATCTTAAAGACACAGCACGTTGGAAACAAAAGGCCTGGCGGGCCTCTTGTGGACACCGCACCAGGCAAGGCGTGTCCAGCTGGAGGGCGCAGTGCCTGGGCCCTGGCCAACCCGTTGGGTACCCCCTCCGAAAACCTTCCGGAGGAAGGTACTGCTCCCGCAGAGGCAAGCCAGGGCCCTTTGGACCCGAAGCAGCCCTTCCGGGAGCGCAGAGTCGCCCCAGCGCTCAGAAGAAGCCGCTGGAAACTCGGGCTAGGTTCAGAGCACAGAAAGTCCGTGTCGCCAGCTCTACGCGGACCGCCGATTTCGAGAGTCCAGTCGGCCGGACGCGGGGAGCATGCTGGCCGGTCCGGGAGGCTGAATGGATGGACGGCAGAAACCAGCGAGGCAGGAGCGGCGGAGTTCGCCGTTTCAGCTTTTTCCAGAGTACTGGAGCCCCGGAGCCGATTGAAGTTCCTTGTCCGGGCCAAGAGTCTGATTTGCGCTCTCCCCTTTCTGTCTCAGAGAACCCCTGCTCTCTGGAGCCCTTCTCAACAACCTGAGGCTCTTCTTATGCGCCTGGAGCTTTCAAAAGCCTCCTCAAGCAGTTACTTGCAAGTATGCCCTGCGCTCTCCGGAGCCAGACTGAGTCAAGGTGAGGAAGGAGCCGGGTCTGCGAGTCAGGATAGACTGGCTCGGTAGAGAAGATCTGGAGCACCTAGCTATCATTTACGCGGATGCCCTGAGCACCCGCTCACACCCGGCACAGCTGGGCCCCAGAAACCAACAAGGCACATGCCCCTGTCTCAGGTCCCAACCCCTCCGATGCAAGTTCCTATCAAGGCCCAGAGGTGTCCAAGTAGTTAGACCGGGTCATTCAGGGTCTGCAGGCTTCGCTCCTCTCGCATTCCGAACGGTCAGAACCATGGACAGCGGCGCCAGCTCCACTCAGAAGGCAGCGCAGAAACAAGCCTTCCCCAGAGCACCGCCAGGGCACTTGGCTGCATCACGGTGGGACCCACCGGGTCCGATCTCGATCGCTCTGAGACCAGCCCCAATACTCTCTATCGATACAAAATTTGTGAAAGTTATTTGAGACACACGCCCAGCGCTCGCTTCAAGGACCGAACTCTCCTCAACCCACTGGGCGGCTCCTGCTCAGCAGCAGTAGTCGGAAAGCATCCCGCAATCCCTCGTGCCTGGCTCCGTCACCCCACCCCCCACCTGGTCCTCAACCTGAGCCCGACCGCGTCCCTAGCGGGACAACCGGCCGAACTCCCGGAAAACACCCATCTCGGGCGGGACTCCGGGCCAGCTAGGGACCCTCGGACTCAGCCTGCCCAGCGTCTTTCCCGGATCGATGAGGTTGCACTCCTTCCTGATGCAAAATAGCAAATAAACAAACAACCAAACAACCATAGAAACGAAACTTTAATGACGCAAGCACCTCTTTTTTCTCTATTGTTTCCTACTCTCAGGACCGGAGGAGGTGACTCATATTATATTCATTACTTCCCCCAAAAGAGTGTTATTAAGGAAAAGGATTTGGGGTGCGATTTTTTTTTTTTTTGGTGTGTTTCCCCCCCCCCCCCTTAATTCTTGTGCAACAAAATGTATTTTCCAATTAACCGAATTCTCCGATTTGTCCCGCTTGGACACTCTGATAATTTACAACCTAAAAGTGTACTTTCTTTATCTAAAGACCAAGGTGACTGCTTTTAATTTTCTCTAACCTCTTTACACTTGATGTTCACCAGACTCATAATGTTAATTGGCTTCATATACGGATCATCAGTTTAATGAAGAAATAAATCCTGTGTTGCTTTATGTTTTAACAGTGATTGCTTTAATGAGGAATGTGACGTGTTCCAAAATCAAAGCTTCAGGAGACAGTCTATTAGGATGAAAATGCTTAGTTAAAGTTAAAACCATGGCCACCTCATATTTCAAGAGATTCTCACATCTCCCCTGCCCTCCCCATCCTCAGCTGGGGTGCTTCCTCAACAGTCCTTCAATCAGTACTTAATACACAATAGCTGCAGAGTCTATATTTCAGATAAGAATCATTTTCTGATTATTAAACTGTTGTCGTTGTGTGCCATGGCCTCTGTTCCAAATCATAGCGACCCTGTATAGGGTTTCTGAGGCTATAAACCTTTGTGGGAGCAGGAAGTTTCATCTTTCTCCAGTGCAGTAGATTCAAATCTGATGGTTAGCAGCCCAACGGATAATCCACTGCCCAGCAAGGTACACTAATTTGCCTCCAGTCCAGCAGGGTAAAATGAAGCCAGAACAAAGGGGGAGTTCAACTTTTAAGGATGTTCACTTTAAAAATTAAAATAAAATGGGTAGAGAGTGACACTCCTCCCTCAAATGTTCTGAGCAGATTTTGTTAAGGAGTCAGTTCCCCTAGTGTCATACATCTTTAAAGCTGAAAATGTAAAGTCCCAGCTCATCACAACAGATAGTTCTGGCCAAGTGGGTTGCTCATCACCCATGTTCTGCAAAAGATACTCTGGGCTCCAGGCAGGGTGATGGGAGCTTTATAGCTCTATACCAATTAATAGGAGAGAAAATCTGTTTTCTCTGATGCATGTTTGATTTTTCTAATTTTACGTTTATTCTGTGAAGGAAAACCTGTCATCTCAAAAGCACCGAGAACAGCAATAAAATGTTGGAAATTGGAGCATCTATGTATGTAAGCCCTAAATTGAATTTTGGTTGAATTATGAGTGATTGTAAATTGATTCCTGAAAAGAGTATCAGACCAAAGCATATCCTAACTCCTTAGAAAATGTAAGGTTTTATAGGCTCAGGGCTGATGTTTCAAACATTATGTATGACAATCATTTTTAACCATTACTTCTGTTTTAGGGAAATTGGAGACTCCACTGTGAACATTTTTAAAGCTCAAATACATAAATACACTCCACTGTTGGACTTGACCTCTCAGATGTGCTCACACAGGATGTTCCTAACCTCCCTCGGAAAACTTTTCATTAGCAGAAACAATCTTAGTAAATATGTTCTGAATCTGTAATAATGGACTAACGGAGATAAAGTACTTCAATTCTCAGGGAGAAAAAAAAAAAGCCGCCCTGAATTCCTAATTATGTGTTTTAGAAGAGAACAGGTGATTTGCAGTGTTGTTGTTTTGTTAGTAAGTAGCAAAAAAACCTCTCTAGTGCTATCCCCTGGGGGAATTGCTGCTTTCCTGAGGCAAAAGGGACAGCATGTGTGTACTCAGTGTGAACATCATACATTCTCAACTTACCAGCAAATCTATTGTCATTTTGAAAATGCCAAGCAAAGCTTGGGGGTAGCTGAGCACAATAGAGCGTGTGACAAAAAAATAGTAGTTAATTG